CTGGGAGTGAGTTTTATTCCAGGCCAAGAATGCATCCTAGGGCCATAGTATTTGGGGGACTCACCAGACTCCATCAAACCAGTAATTCTGGTCATTATTGAGTTTTTGGATTTTGTTCCATGTTTTTCCTCCTCTATCCAAGATCTCCAGAAGAGATCCTCTCCTGATTGTTTGGCATTGGTAGCCAGGCACCATCCAGTTCTTCTGGTCTCAAAGGCCATAGTGTCCTAGGGCTGATTGCTTCCAAATGCCCTTGTTCTATTTATTTATTTATTTATTTATTTATTTATTTATTTATTTATTTATTTATTTTCTCACTCTTCTTCGCTTTCGACGCTAGGAGACCATTAGGTGCTTCTTAGATGGCCACTTGAAAGCTTCTAAGACGCCAGTCACTACTCATCAATGTAGGATGAGGAACAAGGCTTTTACGTATTTTGTTGTGCCAATTGAATCTGGTGTCCACCAGTACTATGGTCCTGAGACGTTAGATCCATTGGATCCCTCTTCCACAATGTCTGGGTATCTGTGAGGAATTACTCTGTGTCTGTCTTCTGTTGTTTCTGTAAGGATTGCAGGTATTTTGTATCACTGGTATCTGTGCAAGATTAGCCTGCACTGAATCTATCCTTAGTCTAGAGTATACTCCTGCTCACTGATCCTCTCAGGTGTTTATGTGTTTATCTGTAGTCCAGTGTTTGGTGTTAATGGTAATGCAGTGTTGTGGGCACACTGGTTGGTATTAGCATCTGTTGTCTATCTTCTACGTGCACAATTCCGTGTCCTCCCTTTTCCTAATGTTATCATGCTGGTCACAGTCTCTTTCCGTAGGGTTGTTATGAGTCAAAATTGACTCTACAGCAATAGGTTTATTTTTTGGTTATCCTTTTAAAATTGTTAGAATCTGTCACAGTTTAGAAGATTCTGCTCTTTCCTGATATTAATAATTTGTGTCTTCTTTCTCTATTTTATTTTTCCTCTTTTGGTCTGTGTTGCTAAAGTTTTATCATTTTTATTGTTGCTTTAATAGAACTAAATTTTAGTTCTATTAAGTTTTGCTGTTGTTTTTCTATCTTCTATATTACTGATTGGTTGGAAGTTCAAACTCACCAGCCACTCTGTGGAAGGAAGACTGGGCAATCTACTTCTGTAAAGATTTACCACCTAGGAAACTCAAAGGGAGTCACTAGCAGTTGGAATCGACTTGATAGAAGTACATTTTTTTTTTTTTTTTTGATTACTCATTAAAGGAGCTCTGGTGGTATTGTAGTTAAGACATTTGGCTGCTAACCAAAATATCACAGGAACAAACCCACCAGCCACGAAAGAAAGATGGGGCAGTCTGCTTTCATAAATATTTATAACTTTGGAAGCCAAATTGGGGTTGCTATGAGTCAAAATCGACTTAATGACTTTGAGTATTTTTTTTTTTAATTGACGACAGTTCCTATCTTAAGTCTTTTTTCTTCCTTCTGCTTACTTTAGGTTTAACTTGTGATTCTAATTCAAATTTATTAAGGTAGAAGCTGAGGTAATTGATTTGGTAACTTTTCCCTTTTCTATTTAGGTTTTTAATGTCACACATCTCTTCCTAAACACTACTTTAGCAACAAGTCATAAATTATCATATATTTTGTTTTCATTTCATTCAAATAAAAATATTTTCTATTTTTCTTTTTAATTGTTATATTATTTAAAAAGAATTTGCCAATTTTCAACCATTTCAGGAGATGATCAAGTACTCAAGATATTGAAGGAAGAAGTTCAAGCTGAACTAAAGGAATTAGTGAAAAACAAGACTTCAGGAATTCACGAAATACCAATTGAGATGTTTCAATAAATGGACACAATGTTGGAAGTGCTCACTCATCTATGCCAAGATTTGGAAGACCACTGCCTGGCTAACTTGCTGGAAGAGATCCATATTTGTGCCCATTCGGAATAAAGATGATCCAACTGAATGCAAAAATTATCCAACAGTATCATTAATATCACATCAAGTAAAATTTTGCTGAAGATAATTCAAATATGGTTGTAGCAGTACGTTGACAGGAAACTGTAACTCAAGCCAGATTCAGAAGAGGTATATCGTTGCTGATGTTAGATGGATTTTGGCTGTAAACAGAGAAAATGCCAGAGAGATATTTACTGTTTTATTCACTATGCAAAGGCATTTACTGTGATTCACAGTAAATTATGATAACATTGCGAAGAATGTAATTCCAGAGCACTTAACCATGATCATGTAGAGCCTGTACATAGACCAAGAGACAGTTTGTCAAACAGAATAAGGGGATACTCTCTGGTTTAAAATCAGGAAAATATGTGTCAGGGTTGTATCCTTTCACTATACTTATTCATTCTGTATGTTCAACAAATAATCCAAGAAGCTGGACTACATGAACAAGAATACAGCATCAGGACAGGGAGAAGACTCATTAACAACCTATGAAATGCAGATGACACAACCTTGCTTGTTGTGAGTGAAGAGGACTTGAAGCACTTACTGATGAAGATCAAAGACTACAGTCTTCAGTATGAATTACACCTCAACATAAAGAAAATAAAAAATCCTCACAATTGGACCAATAAACAACATTGTGATAAATGCAGGAAATATTGAAGTTGTCAAGGATTGCATTTTACTTGGATCCACAATCATTGCCCAGGGAAGCACCTTTTAATGTGTTAAAAAGCAAAGATGTCACCTTGAGGACTAAACGTGCCTGATAATACAAGCTATGGTATTTTAAATTGCCTTGTGTGCATGGGAAAACTGGACAATGAATAAGATCAAAGAAGAATTGAATTATAATTTTGGCAAAGAGTATTGAGTAAAAATAAATTGGGTCCAATTGTTGACATTGCTCAAATCTTCTATATCTTACTGAATTTCTGTCTACTGACTCTATCAAATACTGAGGAAGAGGTGTTGAAATCTATGACTATAGATTTGTCTACTTTTATTTCTATCAGATTTTGCTTTATGTATTTTGAGGCTGTTATTAGGTACATAAATATTTAAGATTGTTATATCTCCTTGATGAAGTGACCCTGTCATCATCAAAAAATGACCTTTATCATTGGCAATATTCTTTGCCTTGAAACATACACTCTGATTTTAATATAACCACTCCCACTTTATTTTGATTAAAGTTAGCATAATGTATCTTTTTCCATTCTTTTACTTTTAATCTGTTTCTCTATATTAGTAGTGTATTTCTTGAAGGCAGTATGTATTTGGATCTTTTCTTTTATCTCATCTAACAATGCCTGCTTGTAATTGAAGTATTTGCAATTTAATTCAATCTGCTTATCCAATCCTTGGAAGGAAGGTTGGGCAATCCTACTTCCTTAGTGATACTGCCTCGGAAACCCATGGAGGGGTCGCTATGAGTCGGGGCCGACTCGACGGCACATAACAACAACAACAACATTGCTATGCTTAAATTTATATAAATTATCTTGCTATTGTTTTCTATATTCTCGTCTTTTGTTTGTTTCTTTTTTTTCAAATTCTTTTCTGCCTTTTTCAAATTTAATATTTTTAAGAAACTTACAATATTATACTTCCATTTCTCCCCTTCAAATCTTCTTATATTGTTGACATACAGTTTTCTTTTACATATCTTTAAATCCCATATTACATTACTATTATTTTTAGTCAACTACTTTTCATTTCTCTCTTGTTTGAAAACAATTTTGACTGCATTATTCCAGTTTTCTTTTTTTCCTGCATATACACAACTAAAGATAATTTAAAAGTAAAGGTTTAAGAGATATAGTTGAAGTCTATTATAATGTAGAAAATTTTCTTTCTATCGACATAAAACTTAAACTATTATTAAACTGCCTCTTTAAGTTTCTACTGATAAATAATATGCATATTCATTCTAAAAAAATGTAAACAGCTGCTTATCTTAAAATATTTATATATGGAGTGGTCCTCTCAGGACCATCTCTGTTCTAATCCACTTATTATAATGTGGGTTTAACTTATAAATAGACTACCCTCTATGAAATATATAGGCATGTATGTTACACTCAAAAACAAAACCCACTGCAGTCATGTAGATTCTGACTCATAGGGAACATGTAGGACAAATAGAACTGCACATAGGGTTTCCAAAGCTCTAAATCTTTATAAACCAGACTGCCACATTTTCTCCCATGGAGTCACTGGTGGGTTTGAACAACCAACCTTCTGGTTAGCAGCTGAGCACTTAATCACTGAGCCACCAGGGTTCCTTGAATATTATACAGATGAAGTATGGTGTTGTTGTTGTTATTTGCCATCGAGTCGGACCCGACTCATAGCAACCCCTCCTTGGCTTTCCTAGGCAGTATCACTACGGAAGTAGTTTGCCCAATCTTCCTTCCGAGGAGTGGCTGGTGGGTTTGAACTGCCAGCCTTCTGGTTAGCAGTCAAGTGCCTTAGCCACTATGCT